AAAGGCACATTTGGCAGTGTGCCCACGGACTGGTGAATGACCGAGAGAGAGAGAGAGAGAGAGAGAGAGAGTACAGAAGGCTCAAAACATCGAACCCGTGTACTGAAGAAAACCTTGCTGGTGTGTTGACCGACCCTGACCCCGACGTGCTCTGCCTGTCTATATTTATGTTTCAGTGAGACAAGATAAGCTTGGTTATGACTGAGGAGAGATAAAGTGCTTTAAAAATATTAGATATTATTGCTGGTAGTTTACGTGTGTTTGTATATACTAACAATCAAAAAGTCTGCTTGTCTGTTCGTCTGTGTATATGACAGTGGGTGTGTATGGTAATATTTGTAGAGTCTATGATGGTATAATGCGTCTGGGGCGGTTTTGTTGGTAATGGTAATGGTAATGGTGGTAGGTGGTGGCTGAGGGTGGTGGTGGTGATAGTGGTAGTAGTGGATATGGTGGTGATGATAGTGGTAGTAGTGGATATGGTGGTGGTGGTGGTGGTAATGATAATGGTGGTTGTGGTATTGGTGGTGGTAGTAATGGTAATAGTGGTGGTAAGGTAGTATTGGTAGCAGAGGTAATAGTAGTATTGGTGGTGGTAAGGTTAAAGGCAGTAGTAGAAGCAGTGGTGGTGGTGGTACTGGTGGTGGTAAGGTCAACGGCAGTAGTAGCGGTGGGTGACAGTAGTAGTGGTGGTAGTAGTGGTAGGGGACGTGGGCAAGGTAGTGGTAGTAGGATGGGTGAAGTGGTCAGGCAGGCATTCCTGACCTACTAACGGAATATGTCCCTCCCTCACTCCCCACCTCTCTCCCTCTCTCACCAACCTGTTCTCCTGCATTCATTTACTTATTGCACTTCGTGTTTACCTGTTTCTTCCTCCCTCTCTTTCTTATTCTTTCTCTCGCTCTATCTCTCTTCTTCACTCTTTTTTGCCTTCTAAATATTTTTTTTACCTTCTCTCATGTTTGTTTTCTCTCTTAAACTCGATTTATTTTTCCCACTTTTTTTCATCTCTCTCTCGTTTTTGCCTCACCCACATCACGAGGGATTTTCTATTTTTTTCTCTCTTTCCCTTTCCTGCGATTTCTTTCCTCTCTCTCTCCATCCACCAGTCCACAAAAAAGTCAACACGTACCGCGCGAGCAGGAACAAGTTCTCTCTCTCTCAGTCTAGGTGAATCAGGCTAACCAGATCAAGCTCTCTCTCTCTCTCTCTCAGTCTAGGTGAATCAGGCTAACCAGATCAAGTTCTCTCTCTCTCTCTCTCTCTCTCTCTCTCTCTCTCTCTCACACACACACAGATAGACCAGGTGCACCAGACCAGGAGGAACAAGGTGAAGGACCAGGTAAGTGATGTCTTGTGTTTTTATACATTTGTCAGGGTCACGCGCTGACCCAGTCATGAGGTCACGGGGCTGGCGGAGGAGGAGGAGGAAGTGGTTGTGGTGGAAGAGGAGGAGGATGAAGAGGAGAAGGATAATATTAATCGATGGAAAAGAAGGAAGACAAAAAAGAAGAAATTAAAATAAATCATCAAACAAACTAAGCACAGATTATACGAACGAAGAGAGAGAGAGAGAGAGAGAGAGAGAGAGAGAGAGAGAGAGAGAGAGAGTACTCTTTTTTCTGTACTCCACGCTGGTCGCCTCAACGGTAAAGACGCTGGAAGGTAACTCGGAGTTAACACATTCACAGATATTTTCGCTGCCATGTAACCCGTATAAAAAACCCTAAGCTTTCACAATAATCTATTTAAATTTTTCATTAACTTAATCAGCCAATAATTTAATGGTTCAGTGAATGTAGTTTTTCTTATTAATGGTCATCGTTTTTTATTGGAGAGAAAATGGACTGGGATTTGTATTCGGGAGGAAATAAGCGACCCGGCAACTCGACCAAGTGCCGTTAGTCAGTATCCAAGATGTGTGACGTCATCGTTCCTGTGTGCGTCTCTCTCTGATGGTACACACACGCGGGTACACAAATAAACACACACAGATACTCTCTTCATCTCCCTCAAACAGTCGAACGCCCACACAGCCAAACACGTGCACACTCAACCCATTTATCTATTCACAAACGCACACCACATCCGTCCACACACACACACATACACTGCACACACCAGCACACACTATATACACACACACACACTACACACTATACACACACACACACCAGCACACACTATACACACACACACGCACATACACTACACACACCAGCACACACTATACACACACACAAACTTCACACACACTATACACACACACACTATACACACACACACTTCACACACACACACACACACTACACACACCAGCACACACTATGCACACACACACACACATACACTATACACACACACACACACATACATACACCACACACACCAGCACATATTATACACACACTCACACACACACACACTATACAGACACACACACACACACACACATACACACACACACACACACACACATACACCACACACACACCAGCACACAGTATACACACACACACATACATACACACACACACACACATACACTACACACACCAGCACACAGTATACACACACACACTATACACTACACACACACATACATTACACACACCAGCATACACTATACATACACACATACACACCACTCACACTAACAAGCACCAATATACATTATACACACATACTAAACACCAACATACACTACATGCACACACGCACACACACCTTAGCCCGCATAATTCACAAAACAGTTACACGCTTCTCAGTATGTATTGAATATGCATATGAATAAATACACATATAGAGTACTCCTACCCTGTGCATATTGAGAGAGAGAGAGAGAGAGAAAGAGAGAGAGAGAGAGAGAGAGATCTATCCAGTAAAGAGATTTCAATTCAACAGTAACAAGTGATCAAGAGAGAGAGCAAACACTATTCATGCAAGTTTTCCTTTACAAAGATGAGAGAAAGAGAAATAGAGGTCAGTAGAGAAACTAGAGAAATAGATCGTAGCGAGAGAGAGAGATAAAGATGGAGATAAGAGATAGGAGAGACTGAGATAGATATAATATATAATAAATAAGAGATAAGGAATGTAATGACATAATTGGGTGTTGGCGACTAATTAAATATTTATTAATAGGAGTTTCTCTTTTCTCTCTCTCTCTCTCTCTCTTTTCCTCTTCTTCTCTTGTTTTCCATTCCCTTGCTTTCTCTCTATGTCTTTCCTCTTATCGACTCTATAATTTTCCTTTGTGTGTGTGTGTGTGTGTGTGTGTGTTGTGTGGGGGATGTGAGTGTACGTGTGTGGGGGTGTGTGGATGTATGGGCGTCGGACAGTGATTGGGAGAGTGTGGGTGTGTGAAAGTGTGTGCATGGGCGGTGAGTGTGTGTTTGGGGGGTGTGAGTGTGTAGTGTGTGTGTGTGTGTGTGCGAGGGATGTAAGTGTGCGTGTGCGGGTGAGTGTGTGGGGAGGGGATGTGCGTGAAGGGTGTGAGTGTGTGTGTCTATCTGTGTGTGTGTGCGTGTGTATGTATGTATGTATGTGTGTGTGTGTCTGTGTGTGTGTGTGTTTGACTGTGAGAGACTATGCGAGTTATCTAGCTGGAGAGAGATTGAGTGTGAGAGTTTATATACTTAGGAATGTCTATTAACCACATGTCTGTCTGTCGCCTCTATATATTGATCTCTTACTCTCTGTCTCTACCTCTATCTACCTGTCTATTCGTCTCTCCCTCTTTCACTTAGACAGCCGGAGAGCCAAACATCTTCACTGATCAATAAATTGCTCAGTAAAGATGTTTTATACTTACTTGCTCTCTTCCATTTTCTCTCACTCAAATTTCCTCTTATTCTCTCTCTCTCTCTATACCTTATTTTTTTTCTCTCTCACAATCAAATTTCTCTCTCTTTCACATAAACCTTCTCTACATCTGATCTCTGTCTGTCTCTTATTCTTTCCCTCCTTCTCTTTCTCTACGACTTTTACTTTGTTAATTCTATTCTCTAGTTAACTTTCTCTATCTCAGTTCACTAGGTTACAGCAAGGTTAGACTACAGCGCACTTCCGGGCTATGTAATACTACGTTGCCCGCTAACTCCGGGTTAAGGTCAGGCAGACGGACTGATGCACCCACAGACACCGAGAGAGAGAGAGAGAGAGAGAGAGAGAGAGAGAGTTGTCCAAACCGCTCAATGAAACACATACAAAAACATTAAAACAATTAAAACACACTTATAAAACACGGAAAAAAATCTCTTAAAAAAGGTTAATGTGATGTACTATTTCGGGGTCACACAAACGCCAAAGATATCTAAGTAATTTTATACCTCAAAACACCGTAGAAATACCTGGATTTACCTCCTACTGTTAAATAGCCTAATCTATTGTGTATCTCGTTTTTTGTAACTTGATTTTACCCAAATTTAGTTGACCTAATATTACCTAAAAATTTCTTAACCTGACGTTAACCTTCCTTATTATTAATGAAACTTAACCTTAACTAAACTGTCCCAACCTAACTTAACGATAACTTAATCTAAAATTAACCTAAATCAACCTAGCCTGATCTTAACTAAAAATAACCTAACCCAACCTAACAGTAACCTAACTTAACGCTAACCTAATCTTAACCAAGCCTAACAGTAACCCAATCTAACCCTAACCTAAAGTAACCAAACATTAACTTAATCTTAACCAAATCTAACCCAAACTAACACTAACCTAAATTGACCTAATCCAACATAACACTAACCTAACCCGACATAACACTCACCTGAACTAACCTAACCTAACCCAACTTAACAGTAACCTAAACTAACCTAACCCAACATATCACTAACCTAATCTATCGTAGTGTAAATGACTATCATGACTCATTTACAAATATTTATACAGGGTTTACAGTTAATGGAGAATGTGAGATGGACTGTCAATAGATGTCAAGAAACAGTCATACCTGTCAAGAATCTGTCATTATAAGCAGTCAAGTGACTTACCTGTGGCCAGCACTGCACTTAATATAATCCACTGTTTCATTATCTCTGTCTTTATCCACTTCTACTATTCACCACTGTTCCACACTCCCAAAGTATTTTTTTTTCTCTCTCGCTCCTCTCAGAGCCGATTGCTTGGTAGGCTCCTCATCCACGCCTCACACACTACTGACTGATCGTCTTGCCATAACCTGGAGGGGGGCTGGCTTACCGCTATGGAAAAAGTTACCAGTGTTCTTTTCCTTATCATTAATTTCCTTGTTTATGTCATTAATAAATAAGATAGAATAATCATTATATTAAAAAAAATCCCAATAACAGATTCTCCATCATATAATACGTTAATGTTTCAAGCCAGTTTACCTGTAATTAATATACAAAAATAAATAACCTGCAACATACACTTGTAGTTCCCGTGTCAACGCGCCCAAGCTAACCCCATTGGTTCAATAGGAAGTGACGTCATGAAAGTACGAACTGGTATTGGTGAAAAGACTCCTACGTCACACACCAAACGCGAGTCTCATTGGTGACCTTATTACGACGTCACGGACAACACATGCTTCTTGCTGGAATGCTAAACATTACAGACTAACAGTTCCTCGTTGGATTATAACAATCACCGCTAGCAGATGACATATCAAGACACACAGACACTGTTCCTCTTGTCTTTTTCTGTTCATATCTATCTTTCAATTTCTTAAGCGTACGTTGTCTGTGTTTGTGTTTATCATTAACATTTATCATTCTGTCTTTTAATTCCGTTTGGCTAATTTTTTCGTCTGTGTCTGTCTGTCTGCCGGTCTTTCTGTATGTCTGTCTGTCTATCTGTCTGTCTGTCTGAATGTTACTTAAAGTAAATAAATATAACACACACACGCGCACACACACACACACTCACACGTACGTCCAACAGGTGTTCAGCTTCAGGTAAACGGTGAGACAGTGGTTACCCTCACCTGTTGCGACTCCCGTTATGTCCGTTAACAGAGTACACGTCACGCGCTGTTACACCACTGAGAGAGAGAGAGAGAGAGACCCACTTTATGATAGTTAATATTAATTAGTCCTAGGCCATGATAAGAGACAACACAATTATCACTCCGTCCAGGTAAACTGAGAGACATACAAAGAGACAGAGACACAGACAGAAACAGGGAGACAGTGACAGACAATGAGAGACAGAGAGAAACAGACAGCACACAAACGCACATACAGACACAGATTCAGACACACATACAGACACAGAGTAAGAGACACACACACACACACACAAGCACCGGACCTTACCTGCCAGGCACCGAACTCCTCCCCACACAAAAAAATCCCACAACATATGCCAAGAAAATTGTTAAGACCAGCTGGCTTGAGAAGGAACTATTAGCCTCTATACTGTGACAGGTGTGTACAAGCAAGAACAGCGACAGGTGTGTATAGGCAAGAACAGCGTCAGGTGTGTACAGGTAAGAACAGCGTCAGGTGTGTACAGGTAAGAACTTTGTCAGGTGTGCAGAGGCGGTAAAAGTGTCAGGTGTGTGGAGGCGATAAAAAGTGTCAGGTGTTTACATGTGTGTGGTGATAAGAGCTTGGGCCGCCGGGGAGGATATCGAGGTGTCTGTTCCACTGCAGGTAGAAGTCAATTAAGAGGTTGCAGGTAATATCTGGATACGTAAAAAGGTGTTGAATTTTTATGTATTGAGACAAAAGAAGGTGTTTGGTAAGGTTAGGTTAGGTTAAGGGTAGGTTAAGTTTGGTTAGGTTAGGTTAGGGTAAGGTCAAGTTAGGGTAACTTAGGTTAGGTTAGACGTAAGTCAGGTTAGGTTAGGGTTAGGTTAAGTTAGGGTAAGTTAGGTTAGGTTAGACGTTAGTCAGGTTAGGTTAGGGTTGGGTTAAGTTAGGGTAAGTTAGGTTAGGTTAGACGTTAGTCAGGTTAGGTTAGGGTTGGGTTAAGTTAGGGTAAGTTAGGTTAGGTTAGACGTTAGTCAGGTTAGGTTAGGGTTGGGTTAAGTTAGGGTAAGTTAGGTTAGGTTAGGCGTAAGTTATGTTAGGTTAGGGTTAGGGTAAGTTAGGATAGGTTAGACGTAAGTCATGTTAGGTTAGGTTACATCAGGGGTAGTGTTTGGGTGTTATCCTCAACACCTCTATTGTGTATACCTCCTTCTGCCACCCCCACTACCTCCTAATAGTCCTACTACACCCTCCTACCTCCTACTTCCCCTTATTACCCTCTTTTAACCATCTTCTACCCCCTACTACTCATGCTATCATTTTCTACCTTCTACTACCCGTTCCTACCCACTACCACCCCTTACTACCCCACCCCCTACTACCCACTATTACCCTTTACTCTCCCACTCCCTACTACCCCCTACTACCCACTATTACCCCTTACTATCCCACTCCCTATTACCCCCTACTACCCTTTACTATCCCACCCCATACTACACCGTACCCCCTACTACCCCTTACTACCCTTTACTATCCCACCCCATACTACACCGTACCCCCTACTACCCACCCCTTCTTTTACCTACCACCCCCCAACCCCTCTACTACTTACCACTCCCCACCCCATATACACCCCACTACCCCTTTACCTTATCCCACCCCATACTACACCGCTACTTTTACTACCCTTACTACTTTTTACTATCCCACCCCATACCACACCAAACCCTCTACTACCCTTTACTACCTTACCATCCTGCCATACTACATGCACCCCTACTACCCCTTACTACCCTTTACTATCCCACCCCATACTACACCAAACCCCCCTACACCCATATGCCCCCTGCACCACCCCCTTACTATCCCTTCCCCATACTTGCACACCATGCCCCTACCTACCCCTTACTACCCCTTACTATCCCACCCCATACTACACCATACCCCCTACTACCCCTTACTATCCTTTACTATCCCACCCCCTACTACCCCTTACTACGCCCTGCTAGAAACTGAGACACAAAATATTTGGTTCCTGGCGCCCCTAAAAAAATATATCTTTCAATAGGTTTAAAAGTGTGTTTGGTAAACCCTCTCTCTCTCTCTCTCTCTCTCTCTCTCTCTCTCTCTGTCTAACTCTCTCTCTCTCTCACTGCGTCACAGAAACTAAGGCGGAAATAACCAAACTTTCTCTCTTACCAGGAACATGTCGACACTGCCCCCCTTCACCAGGTGGGGTGAGCGGCCGGGCTCTGAGAGAGAGAGAGAGAGAGAGATAAGTATGTATGTATGTATGTATGTATGTATGTATGTATGATTGTATTTATGTATGTATGTATGTATGTATGCTTGTATGTATGTATGTATGTATGTATGTATGTATGTTTCAGACCCAAGGAAACTGTATCAATAACTCCGTTTTCCGCGATTTGGGTTATTGTTCATACAAGTGAGAAGCAGCTGATTGGCCGATACACCTGCCTCTTTAAAACACATTTATATTATATAAAATCAAGGTAAATATTTATCTTATAAATAATTAGAACATATTTTTTCTCTGGTTAAAAATTCCTCCATATTTTCAAATTATTGGGGACTTGGGCAAGATAATAACGTATTGGAGAGTACTGTACGGTACAAGTGTGTGTGTGTGTGTGTGTGTGTAGGTGCTATGTATGTACTGTACAGTACATATATATGTATGTATGTTTTGAGGCTTTTATTTTGTTTATCCGAAGGAACAGTACAAAAACTTAAAAACTTAACACACACACACATATATATATATATATATATATATATATATATATATATATATATATATATATATATATATATATATATATATATATATATATATATATATTTCATTTTTAGTCATATAACATGGACTTGAACATATAATCAACGACCTCACCAGCCAGGACTCGAACCTCGTCTGCTGAGGTCGTTGATTTTTATATATATATATATATATATATATATATATATATATATATATATATATATATATATATATATATATATATATATATATATATATATATACAAAATCAACGACCTCACCAGGATGAATAACAACACCAACTTATGGATAAACAGCATATTTATTCATATTTATAGACACTAGCACACAGGCAACAGCAGGTAATGTACACAGGTCCAACAACAAGGGTCCAGACGACATCACGCTGACCCCTGGAAGGTAGGAGGGTAAACAGCTAATGCGGGACTATGCATATACAGTACTACCATCTGGACGCCTCCTTATCATTACCTCAATACAGCAAGGGTCGAGACGACAACAAGCTTTAGGGGAAACCAGCAGGGGCGAAAGTACACGAACTTGAGCCCTAAATATTATTTTGTCCCAGTAGATTCAGAGACTCTGGGAGCCTGGAGCACTAAGGCCCTGCAGCTTTTGAATGAGTTGTGTTGCAGGCTCGCTGAAACCGACGGAAACGCCGGAGCATCGAGTTATTTGTTCCAGAGCCTCATCTTAGTGATCTAGAGAGAGAACTGCATACTAAGATCTTGTCCCTCACCCGAGGAACTTAAGGTAGTCTTCAAATTGGTGTGAGTAAGAATGCATGAAAAATAAGTTTAAATTCAGGGAAAATAATCCAAATTTACCGTGATTAATCCTTATACCCTTTTCCAAGGCGAAAAGTCTGCTAACTTACTCAGATTCGCCCGGAAAGAAGGGACAGGATATTATAGTGCACGACAAACCACTTGTCCACCCGCACGTCCATACACACACACAAAGCATATATAGATCTATCATCGTAAAAGCTGATAAAGTTCCTCCTTTATCTCGTCTCTTAACTTTTACTTTCCATCCTTTAATCTTCACCTTTCATCACGCTGTCACTATTATTCTCAATTATGACACACTTTATATTTCTTTTACACTCCAGTCACGGATGAAAGGCAGTCTGAGATAACAGTTTAAAAGTAATGCTTAAACAGCTTACTGACTAAATGTGGGTTTTATCTTAGAGAGAGAGAGAGAGAGAGAGAGAGAGAGAGAGAGAGAGAGAGAGAGAGAGAGAGAGAGAGAGAGAGATTACTAAGTACATTAACCTTACGAATGTGTGTGACTTCCGGTTGTTATCTCTTTTTTTCTCTCATTAATCTCCTTAATTCCTTCTCTGTTTGTCAATTTGCCTCCCTTCCCCTCTTCTCTCTCTCACCCCCCAAGAATTAAAC